ACATTTTCAAAGGTGAATAGGCACCAAAAATATCTGCACAATTAAAACAATCATGAGATTAAGAAAACTGAAAGTTTCTTTTGGTCATTTAGTTTTTATTGTAAAAATATACACCTACATTATTTTAAAAATTACAGCAGCACACCAGTATTTTATTTATATCTACACTATGCTAACATTTACTAAATACCTGTTTCAAGATCTGAAGAGCCATTCACCATAATAAAACTATGGTACAGTTCATAGTCATAAAATCATAATTACTCTTGAAAGCTACCTAAAGAATGTCCATCCCAGGTCACCACAGTAGTCCCCAGTAGTTTGAAGAAAAAAAGCAGTATCCTTTGTGCAGAATCTGAATTTGCTGATCTAAGAAGACAGAGGCCAGAATCCAACAGGAATAAATGCAATAATTGCCAAAAGATATCTTGCCAGGAAAAGAAATTCACTGAGTAAAAGGAATTGGTAAAAATACCCCATTCTCATAATTTTAAAAAACAACAGTAAGCACTTAGAAATATTGATATTTATCAAATCCCCCTGAATTGTGACAATGTACAATTACAAATACCACAACCTGCACCAAATGCAATGGAATGTATTTCAAAAGAAAACAAAATATACAACATAATAATTCTGTATTTGGATATAGCTTTTCTTTTTTTAAAAAAAAAAGTATTAAAACATCTCTTTCTTTCGATATATAAAGATACACATATATAAAACCAAATATAATAGCTGCCTGTTAAAATCAGTATGAAGCTGCAAAATGTTCATTGAAAACATAGCAATACATATTTTCTTATCCAAATAGTAGGTTCCATCCAACCTCACAGAGACGTCCACTCAACCTCCTCCCCTCTGCCCTCTCTCAAACGTGGACCAAAGAATTTCGGATTTGATAGGCTGGGGGAATCTATTTCACCAACAGTGTCTTCTGTTGGTGAATGGGCAAAACTGGATATAACCCAATGGCAACATTTAAAAAAAAAGAATGAATGGTTTAAGAGTTCTAATGCCTAAAATATTCTCATAAGACTGTATTACTGACCAGGCACTAGAACCAGAAATCTACTAGAGAACAACTAAACACATACTGGCTACTATCCTGTTCATGCCAGTGCAATGTAAAGTTATGCCAGCGTCAATGTGCTCAAAAAAAGAATCTTCTACAGTGTAATAAGGAGATTAAGGAAACCATACATTGACTAACTAAGTAGCATTAAGAGGAAGACTTTTGCCTACACTTGGGACCACTTCATTCCTCCATTTGCAGCACAAATAATGAAACCAAATTGTGATAACCAAAGTTTCTTATTTAGGAAAAAATAAAAGGAATTTTTCAGGGGGGGAGGGGAAGAGGTTTCCCCCTCACTATGCAAATGAAGAAGCAAAGATGCTTGGATAAGTCAGCAAAAGACTTAGTTTATCAAGACAGGATTGTCCAAATGTAGTCAAAGCATACGGAACATGGAATTAGATGTTTTTGTTATTGGCCGCATTTGTCCATAATTAAGAACAAAGATTCTTCCTAGGCAATACTGAAACAATATTTGTACTAGCCTCAAATCTTTTTTAGTTCTTTTGAGACTACAGAGTAAATACAAAAGATTTTGTATGTACATCTTATTTTTTAAAAAATGTGCACAAAATACACACAAGCTTTTGGCTCTATGTATGGGCACAACGGAAATGCAGAACAGGTTCTGTTTTCCTGCCCTACACACATAGTCACCAAATACACATGACCTCCTGTTTAATATGTGAAGTGGCCAGGAGACCAAAATATTCAGGAAATGTAATTCTAATATAATATATCCAGAACTGCATATGCAGAAGACAGGCTTGTATGTATGTATGTATCTTTACAATCCCCTCCTCTTTCTACAGCCCCAAAAGGACATTTCAGGGGATCAGAGACCACTCTGGGTTGTGTGATGATGAGACAGAAGGAAATGATCCACTACATAACCTTCCCTTATTAATGTAAATTAATATTTGTAAAGGGAAGAAATATTTGTGATAACCGTCCTCCTACAATTTATTCCTAAGCTGTCCATTTGAACAGGTATTAATGGTACCACCACTAATACCTGTTCCCAACATATTCAACTTTTTGTCATGAGGCTTAATGTGCAAAGAAAAATGTGTACTAACAAGACTATAAAGGGGCACATCAAGAGAAAAAAGACATTTTAAACTACAAGGTAGCTATAATAACAAGAGCTGTATATCAAACTAGTCGTTAAAAATAATTAAAAAGATGAATTAAAAAAATTCACAGCAGTATATATTCAAGAATTTGTTCCCCTGTAGATTTCCTAAATCCTCAATCCATAAATTAATATTGTTTTTATAGCAAAACTAACACTTTTTGCCTGCAAAAAGACATTACTCCAATGCTGATGGGCTATTTAATATTCTCCTCTACCAATAAAGAAGTAAAACAATAAAAAGTAGAGGAATTCAGTGCATCTGTTTAAAAAAAATGCTGTAACTTTTATTAACTACTAGAAACTGGTACCTTTCTTTGCATTTAAGAAATCTATTCCAATTTACAATCCAAAGTCATAGTGTATAAAATACTGTTTATGTTAAAAAAATAATCAGTTACTCTTGTTTTGTTGTACTGTTATCTAGTGAAGGCTTTCTTTTGGCCTGCTTTCACAATGTCATCAGGTGACGGTGATTTGAAATCAAATGGAGTTATTGCTAATAAAGGTCCATTTTCATGAATTTTCACTTCTTGCATCTGTCTGCTGTATAAAAAAGCCTTATGGAGGCTAACAGTTCGGCGCTTACATCTCTTTGGGGGATAATGAAGACATAATGTTATAGCGAAGGCTGAAGGTCTTGCAGAAAGTGTCTTTGTCCATGGAACAGTGCCTTCCAAAACACGCGACCTCACTTTCTTTTTGCTTTTCTTGGATCCTTTAGCTACAAATATTTGCTGTCTCTGCGCTGTGCATGACGCTTCTGTTTCTGGAAGTTGGTTATCTGCTCTTACCTCTACATGTTCTGATACTGGTTTTCTAATAAGAACACTTAGATCAATATTTGAATTCACACCTGCAGACTGCATCATTTTATCTACATGAAGTTCAGAATGGCTACTTGTTTCAGGCTTAACCACTTCAATGGATTTAGCAATTAAATCTGAAAGTGATAGATTCTCAAGCTCTTTTACTGGAGAAGACCTAGAGAATGTTAGGGAAGATAAAGATCCTGACAGTTCTGCCATTCCAGATGAAATTCGAGGTTGGCTGGTTAATTGGGACAATGGTGAATATCCCAATTCCATGTCTGTAGAGCCTGCTACTGATAGGTCACAGTGATCAGGAAAAGGGTACGTCTTATCTGAATTACTGCTTTGTTGTTCCTGTATGAGATCAGCCAGAGATGGACTTTCTGGCAAGGAAACCTTTAAGCTATCAAACTCTGAAGAGCTGCAGCTGTGTCCGTGGGAAGAGCCCTTCTTTTGGAAGACAGAATGGACATTTCCAAAATGTTCCATCTTTCCAGTGAACATATTACTCATCTTACCGAGCATTATATCCCCCAAAGAACTTACTAAACCAGGAGGACTATCCACGCAGCTTTTACTATCATTATCAGACTCTTTCTGCAGAAAGATTAAAGCAACGTCTTGAGTATCTGCTGAGTCTCCTGTTTCATTAAGCCTCAAGGTCTTCAAGTCCTGAACTTCTTCACACTCAGACTGATTCCAAGAACCCTTTCCTGTTGGATTATCTTTCAGCACCTCATCCCCTGAACTACAGCATGAGCCGCTTTCATTAACAGATCTCCAACTTGTGTTACTAGTGTCATCAGCAAGTGGTAATGATGGCTGTTTGTTGACATAGTCATGAAATAATATGTCATTGTCACTGACTGGTAGAGGAGGCACTCCCAAGTATTTACAGGAGGACATTAATGGTGTATTTTTGACTGAAAGTGTTTTGACATATTTAGGTTTGGTCAGAATTCTGTCACTTGGAGCTGAAGGGTCACAGGAAGTTCCAAACCTCAATATTTGGTCACTGGGACTAAAACAGCTAGTAGTATAATCTGAAGTGTCTTCCACCAAATTAGACAACCTATTGACACTCGAATATATTTCTGAACAAATTAAGCCTTACCTTACAAAAGCCAAGAATTCAAAGACAATTGGAAAGCCACAGCAAAAGCAGTTCCAATGTGTAGAAGGTCAGGAAAGGCAACAGCAAAATCAAGGAGGAAAAACATGAAAAGGCATTTATTTAACAAACTTTATCCTAATTATTTTTAGAGATGTCAATAATATACTTATGGGATTAGTCTAATACCTAGGCTAAAGAATAACTCCAAAGAGATAGCAGCTCAGAATTACCAGGAAATCACTAAAAAGTGCCACTGAATTCCTCTTATTCCTGCAATTATATTGAAAATGGCTAATTTATAATTTAATCACTCCTAGCTATCATTTCACTAAGTTATTTAATTCACATACAGTTAACATTGCTTTATGCTAACCCCTTGACATTTAGTCCAGTCGTGTCCGACTCTAGGGCGCGGTGCTCATCCCCGTTTCCAAACCATAGAGCCAGCATTTTGTCTAAAGACAAGTTTCCATGGTCACATGGCCAGCGTGACTAGACACAGAACACTGTTACCTTCCCACCAAGGTGGTACCTATTTATCTACTTGCATTTGCATGCTTTCGAACTGCTACGTTGCTAACCATGTTTATACAACTCCGTAGACATGTTGGGAAGATAAAAGTAACTACAGATGTACAGATCTATGAGCATACTGAATAGTCGTTTCACTAATCAATATAACTGCAGATCTATCTATCTATCTATCTATCTATCTATCTATCTATCTATCTATCTATCTATCTATCTATCTATCTATCTATCTATCTATCTATCTATCTATCTATCTATCTATCTATCTATCTATCTGCTTGATGAAAAGAGGCATAAGGTAAATTTTGGGATAATCACATGTAAACATACCTTTTGCTGCTTTTCCTGCAGTCACAGTATCTTTAGTCTTCATATTTTGTTTGCTGGTTTGTGCAAGCACAGAATCCAAAGCTTGTTGTACATTAAATTTACTGTTCAACACTGCTTCTACCATCACCTTTTCTGGCACAGATTCTCCAAGCACTTCTCTCATATGCTTAAGGCATGACTCAAGCTGAGCTAAAAATTCAAAACCAATAATGAATTAGTCAGGAAAAGCTCATTCATACAATTACCTCAAATATGTATCAGAAGACAAATGCTCAGATTTCTCTTTAGCAGACCGCCACAATCTTAACTCCCAAGCAAAACTCTTTTTCCAGTCCTTGCCCGTCTAGAGTACTCTTCATGTCATCAAGCAGTAAAGTGTTCTCAACATTTGTAAAAGCATGACTATTTAGCTATGCAGTTATCATCAACAAATGCTGCATTGATTCCAAAGACCAAAATGCATATATTCAGCATTAAATAATTCAAAATAATTTGGCAAGTCATTTAACAGCACATTTTAAACATTTACAGATACCATAATTAACTTCTAAGGCAAGCAGCATGTTTCCAGTCCTTAGTTCTAACAACTGGGTAACTATAACCACAAACAATTTAAATGGATTGCTAAAATAAATGTGTTAACTATACAGCTTTAAAATTTTAAGTACTGAATGGAATGGAACAGCTTAATGGAACTTGAAACTCAATGCCTTTCTATAGTACATAAACAGACTGAAATGTAAGCAACTCTAAAGAAATATATCATAAAAATGATAAAGTTAGCTCATACAATACACAGGAATTGAGTAGAATATTTTTCCAATAAAGATGCTAAACACAGGACTGTTCTGAGAGAGTACGTTGAAGCCTGTTGCCTGCATGCAGCCCCCAAGGACAGGCTTTATTCCTCCAGATCATCCCATGCCTCCAGTACAATTTTCAATGCTTTTTTGATGGTGTCTTCAACTCTTGGAGGGCACCAAGAGCAATGGTTCCCATTTTATTGTACTTTGATGCTCCCCCAAAACCACAAGATGCTATTTTGACACTTGTAAGCACTATATTTAAAAAGTTGACTTTTTTGGCCATTTGGGCCATTTATTGACCTGGTATGGCTCGTGCTGCTTTCTAGGGACAAAATCATCATGGCTCACAGGTCTGCTTAAATTATCTGTTCCTGCTCTAAACCAGGGCCTTGTGAGTGACAGATACAGTGATTAGGTATTTCTCTCACACACATACATACAACTTGCTGAGCACATGCTCACTGAGGAAAGCTGACTGGAAACAACTTGTATCTCTAGACCAGAGATCCCCAACTTTGGACCTCCAGATGTTCTTGGACTACAACTCCCAGAAGCTTTTGCCACCTCCCAGGATTTCTGGGAGCTGAAGTCCAAAAACATCTGGAGGCCCAAAGCTGGGGACCACTGCTCTAGACTACCTAGGCATACACATACTTGACTGCATTAATATCAAGGCTACATTCTATCACTTAGTCCCTATTGTCATGCACATGATAGAGGTCTTCCATGTCCATGCCACAACTCCATGTAGAATGGAGACCTAGTTTGTTTTGTATGCATGTACACATCTGTGTCATCTGGAATTAGAGTTGATAAAAATCAATGATTTTTTTAAAAAGGATTTAAATCACAATTTAAATTTTTAAAAAACTTTTTTTGATTTAAATCATCAAAAAATCTAATTTTTTAAACTTTAAATTGATTTAAATGAAATCTATCCTGTTTGGGATCATGCACTGCCAGATTCCTGATTAATGTGCCTACAACTGCAAATGGCTCTGAACAAATGGGCTACAGTCCACAATGAGCTACAGTCCACAATGAACAAATGGGCTACAGTCTACAATAGGATGATGTGTCTCATGTGAGAGAAAAGGGAGTTATGTCAAATCTCACCTCTTTGTCTGTACACTTCTCCACTCAATAGTCCCCATTTGTTAACTCTCATATGGTCAGATGGGACATAAAGGTCCCCTACATTACTATTTTATTGCAGAGTTCACACAGAACTAAATATACAAGAGATACTTTTTTTTTACTTTTCTACCAGAAGGGTTGTAAACAATGTCCCCAAATTTCAATCACTTTATGTTGGGCAGGTTTCTTAACAGACAAAACACACGTGGGACCAAAATCTACTGGTTTTTGCCACTGGAATAGTTTTGTGGGCAGGTGTCCCAGCCAATTTCAGGTATTATGACAAAAAAGGTCCATGTTGTTTACAGCAAACCACGATGGCTAGAATTATATCACTTTATTAGTCAAAACCATAATGGATGAAATTCTGATGGCATTACACTTGTGGAAGGCCAACAGTGCCATTAGCAGGTGCAATTTTCGATAACTAAAAGGTCCTAATTCTCTCCCATAATTTTTCCAACACATGCCAGTAGGGTTTCTGAAGCAATTTTCTGTAATTAAAAACTTCCATCCAGCAATTCCCACAGCTTCCATATGATGCAAGGGATTATATGGGAGTCAAAAAAGCACAGAAGTTTGTAATTACAGATAATCATCACTGCTGATGAAATCATGACCCCTTTGTAGGAGATAAGTTACCCATAGGCAGCCAATGTTTCTACAAGATAGATAAAAACATGACTCACATACATTAATTGAATTTTTAAAAAATCTATACCTACCCTTTTCAACTCCAGTTAGCTCGTGACTAGAGATACAATTGCTATGTTCTTTATCTTCATAGCCATATTCTTCTTCTAATGTCTCAGTAAATGCTGAAGGTTTATCCCGTCTTGAATATATAAACTGAGCAGCTATAATGGAAACCAATAACGAGAGCTATTGCAATTATATATAATTACCCTACATCTCCCAATCCCTCTTGTATTCCAAAAATACTGCTTCTATTGTTGAAGAAATGTTTTGAATTAAAATACATTCACTGTATCAATGGTCTTTATTTCAGCATTGATTTATCAAGCCCCACATTTAATGCATTGAATCTAACTAAGATTGACAACTGGATATTTTCTTTAAAATTTGCAGCAAAGCTGATTTTCATTGTTCTAACTATTCACAATTTATTTTTCTGAAAGTTAGATTCAGTATTTGTTTCTTAAAGTACTGAATATTCAAATTCCTATTATCATTCACATAGTCTTCAGAATACTTAATCTGAATTAAATGTACACTGATTCAAGCTAAAATTAAATCTATGTTTCTTTTTTTTTTTAAGTACAGACATATGGCCACAGTTGCATGAAACAGTTTTGATGATCAGGGCTATATTCTTTAGGGACAAGCAAGCAGCCAAAATGCATACAACTATTCTTCAGGATAGAAAAATAATAAGAACTAAAATCTAGGAGATTTTAGGCAAATCATGAATGTCATCTTTAGCCATTATTGCCGCTATTCTTCTTCCCACATGCTATTGTGCTATGCTATGTAACATTAAAAAATATAGGCTACTATAATCTACAGTTCTGCACAGAACTGAAACAGAAGGTCCACTATAGCTGGAGTTCATAAGGCTACGTGACATAACACAGGCATTAAACAGAATACTAACCTACACGGTAATGATCATATATTAAACTAACCTGTTGAGGGTGAAATGCAATAATCGTCCTCCACAGAGTGCCCATAGAGATCATCTTCTTCAAAGTCTAAGAAGAAGAAGAAGTACAATTGAATTTTTGTAACTGGAATTTTAAATAATTTAAGATACAATGGCCACAATTCTGTTCCTTAGTGTAACCTAGAGTAGATCCATTGAATCAATAAGGATTTAATGAGTCAATTCCAGAAGTTCACTGAGCCTACTCTAGATGCAAACTGCTATGATAAAGTAAGTCACACTTAGAGTAAGCCCATTTGAACCAATCAAACATATAGATGAGCTGACTCACCGAATTCCTATTGCTATGCTAAGCAACTAGATTTGGGACAATGTTACAATATTCATTAAGACACACTACAGGTAAACATCATTTCAGTTTAGGCCATTTGATTCATTTTGGTTTAAGATACAGTGGTGCCTCGACTTATGAACGTCCTGACTTACGACCATTTTGGGTTACGACCAGCTCCAACCGCAAAATTTTGCTTCGACTTGCAGCTGGAGCTTCTAGTTACGAACAGAAAAAAATGCAGGGCAAAAAGGTGGGAAATTCCAATTGCTAACTTCTGGTAGGCGAAGAGGCTGCTTCTTTGTAGCTCTTTCGCCCCAGCAGTTAAGAGCGTGCGATGAGAGGAGGCTTCAGACTGCCTGGTAATGTAAGGTGCTACCTTCTGCTTTTTAAAAACTGTTCTGGGTGGCTTTTACAGTGTGGTTTTGGGCTGGGGGGTTTATGTTTCTGTGCTGTGATGGGTCTTGGGGGGTTGTTTGTTGGTAAATTTTCTTCCCATTTCCGATGGGTCTTGGGGATTTATTTCTTTTTTGGAGGGTTCCACCATTTCTGATGGGTCTTGGGGGGTTTGTTTGTTGGAGTTTTTTCCCCCATTTCCAATGGGTCTTGAGGGGTTGGTTGGTTGGTGCTTTGCTTTTTCCCCATTTCCAATCTGACTTGCATGCTTTGCTTGCTTTTTGCTTTGCTTTTTCCCCATTTCTGATCTGTCTTGCATGCTCTGCTTGCTTCCCCCCCCCCTTCGGCTGGAAGGGATTAATCATGTTTCCGATGGGTCTTGCAGTGATTTTTTAATGATTTTTTCCTTGGCTGGAACGGACTAATTGCATTTCAATGCATTTCAATGGGAAATGGTGCTTCGACTTACGACCATTTCGAGTTACACCTATCTTCCGGAATGGATTAAATTCGTAAATCGAGGCACCACTGTAATCTAATTTCAGGAATATGAAAAAAACTCTTTTATAGGAAGGTCTTCATCACAGTCATTACTTGGTAGCCTACTCCTCCCTTGCTCCAAGGTCAGCTACCTTCAAATATTATCTTAAGGCAAGGAGCTATTTTCTGCCTTCAGGAAAACAGTGTGAACCAAAGTTCCCATTTTAAAAATGATAGACAGATTGAAATAATGGAAAGGGCATTGACAGACCCCTGACATGAAAGCTACTGAAAAATCCAAAGCCCTTCTAGTATGGGCAGGGGGGGGGAGAGAGTAAGACTGTCTGCTGCTTCTTTTTTCTTTCACTATTCCCATTTTGGACAAACTCTTCCATCTAAAACTAATAGGAGGAAAATGATCTGCACTCTGTTTATAACTGCATAGACAAATCATCAAACGTTTGGGAGATATACCTAGGGCCAAAAGTTCCTGCAAAGCTACAGCATTTCCTTGCATGCCAGTTTTCCACTGCTAGCATATTTCCTCTTTCAGTCTCACTTACAGGGAGACACCTGAAGAGTTCAACAGATCCTGTGCCAATCTCACAAGGATCAGAAGTTTGTAGCTTTGGTTTCAGGACAATATTTGCCACTGTAGAATTTAACAGCAACCAGCCCTGTCACTACAATGCACTAATCAGAAGTATTCAGTAGTAAAAACAAGCCAAAGCAAGGTTCTTGCTAAGCTGGGCACATGCAAGTGCACACATGAATCCAGTTCCCTCTGTGCAGCTGTCTTCCTCCTCTGCGCAGCAATTGTGATAGGTTCTGGTAGCAATGGAACCCTACACGCAGAGCCAGAATCGTGTGCACATGCAGGGGCAAAGTCGCAAGACAGAGACGGTGCTCCGTCCAATGGGACTGAAAATTGGATAGTACATTGAGCCAATTTTGTACATTTTGTCTCCTTTTAGCACAGACAAAATGTATAATGGAAATACAGTATTAGAGTCTTCAAGTCTTCTTCATTAATCTATGTTGTCCTTTAAATCTGTGCTTGTCAACCTTGGGTGCTCAGAAGTTCCTGGACTAAAACTCTCAGAAATCCTGGCCAGCACTACTAGTGATGTAGGCTTCTGGGAGTTTTAGTCCAAGAATATCTAGGGAGTTTTAGTCCAAGAATATCTGGGGACCCAAGGTTGGGAGTAATTGCTTTAAATAATAATAGCCATTAAAAAGAAACTTGGCCTCTATTGAATGATGTCATTCTGCTAGTATATGGTATACTACAACAGTGGTTACTCATTTTCAGAATCAGAGCAAGGATGGTATTTAATACCACTACAATTGCACCAGTGACTGCACAACCTTTTGCACTGCTTGTGCAAAGATGTCATCTAGTACAACTGCATAAACAATAATATTTATTTATTAGTGTTATGCTAAATTTAGGCATCCAGATGCAGGCAACAAGCCGTAATTGGTTTGAAATTATTATGATGTCACAAATATTTTATTAATAAAATTAAATTACATAAAATCGAAAATGCCAAAAGCATTCAAAATGAATGTTCTGCGCTTACTGAACATTGTGATTTAAGGTGCAGAAATATGGACAAGTTAGACAAAATTAGCTGTTATAAACACAGCACTGTCCTGAAACGACAGCATTCTATTAAGGCTTGTTTTATAAGTTTGTTTTGCCTGACGTTTAATATCAGTCTAAAAGCAGACACTTGAAAATGCAAGTCTAACCAATTTTAAATGAGAAATACTTAATAATATGTTAATTAAGTGCTATCAAGTTGATCCTAACTTAGAGCAACCTTTCCCTAGTATTTCAATGTGTTGAGTATTCAAGTAGTTTGCTATTCCCTTCCTCTAGGGATGTTCTATGATTATGCAGCTTGCCCAAAAATTAAACAGGATGGCTCTTCTGGGAGGCACAGCAGGGAATCAAGTTCTGCAGCCAGATATCAAATTTACTAAACTACCTACCCAGAAATACTTAAACCCACTGTTAATTCTTCCAGTAAAAAAAGACCCTAGAAATACTTAGCTTTGGCTCGAACCACTCTTTTTTTCTTCCTTCATACAACTACTTTTGGTTTAAATAAAGCTATGATACTTCCTCATCATTTTCAGACAACTCTTAAGTAAAACATATAAAAACTCCAGAGGCTTATATATGAATTATATATTTATACAAAATTTATTAACAATAACTAAAAAGACATTCTGGGAAACAAAAGTTTAATGCATCAAACATATTTTGAGTCATCTGATCTTGAACCACTAAGAAAAAGCAGTGCTTTAAAATCTCTTCTTGATGGACAGTTTAAATACAACCAAAACTTGTGAGAGGGTTTACAAGGCTGAACTGTGAAATGATTTACACCAACAAATTACTTTCTCCTCCTTTCCACACTAGCCAACCAACAGTTTAAGTACATAATACTAAGAGTATAAAGAAGTGTCACTAGAGCAATATCATCCACACTCATGCACTTCCAATCACCATGTATGGGTGGTGAAAGCTGAACAATAACAAGAGTTGACAAGAACAAAATTGATTCATTTGAAAAGCAGTGCTGGAGGAGAGCTGTGAGGATACCCTGAACTGCCAGGAAGACGAAAAAGTGAGAGCAAATCAAGCCTGAACAATCTCTGATTTTGAAACTGAGGATGTCCTACTTTGAGCACATCATGAGAAAATATAATAATATTGGAAAAGGTAGAAGGCAGCAGGAAAAGAGGAACATCAAAGATGAGATGGATTGACTCATAAAGAAAGTCACTGGCATGTGCTTACAAGAGCTGAGCAAGGCCACTCATTCATAGGGTAACCGTAAGTTAGAGATGACATGACGACACATAACAATGATGTAAACAGGCATGTTCTCTTCATTTCCAATATCCACCAAACTGATGGAGGCTCCTGACAGACCCATGTGGTTTTTATCTTCTGCTGCAGTGGTTCTCAGCCCTGGCTCATCAGACGTTTTGGACAATTCTTCTTAGAAGTCCAACACTAAGCTTGGTAACTACAGTTTCTGGAAGGTGAAGTATGATACTTCTGAAGGACAAGAGTCTGAAAACCACCGCGGGACCTCTCTCTTCCTTGTTTTGTACAATTCTTTTAAGGCCACTTGGCTCAGGAGGCCAAGAGCTGGACGTGCAATAATGAAATTCTCTCAAGTCTGAACAACTAAATACATCAGGTTTAAAAGGGACAGCTTGGTAACTACAGTTTCTGGAAGGTGAAGTATGATACTTCTGAAGGACAAGAGTCTGAAAACCACCGCGGGACCTCTCTCTTCCTTGTTTTGTACAATTCTTTTAAGGCCACTTGGCTCAGGAGGCCAAGAGCTGGACGTGCAATAATGAAATTCTCTCAAGTCTGAACAACTAAATGCATCAGGTTTAAAAGGGACGGATGCCTGTCAGGGCCAGCTGGGCTTCAACCCCTGAAGCCTCCTCATCTAAACACTGGTGTTCCTCCGCTGAAACACCTGACAGAAGTTAAATATGCCGAAGGTCATATTTGTGAGAACAAATCCTCAGAAGACCCACCTAC